GACTTGAAAAGCGGATGCCATCAACACCTCTTCCAGTTGTCAGGAAATCTGAGAGACTGGAGAAACAGAGCGCCCCAAGTCCTTTAAGAAGGTCTGACAGGAGTAGAGCACTTGGTTCATCAACTTCATATGGATCAAAGAGCTTGGAGAAGTGTCCAGTTCAGCGGACAGAATGAGCAGGCGGGAAAAGAAAGAGAAGAGCGTAAAGCAGTTGACGATGGGAACTGAAAACGTCAACCATGGTGAAAAATGGAACCAAGAATCTTTTGGTGTAAAGAGGAAGAGAATGGATGCTCGCAGTTACAAGGCTTTGTTCAAACGAAAACGAATATGTTCAGCATCAGGTAGGCAAATTTCTCGTGCGAGGCCGCGCCACTTAACATTGTGATGACTGTTGAAAACTTAGAATTTTTCACACGGTATATTTTCCAGTATCTATGTTGGATACAAGCATTTAAATTCATGCTGCATAAATGTTAGTGTCTATAATATTAATTCCAATATCTTGAACTGAGTGGAGAATGATCTTGCTAATTTGGTCATTGGTATTAATCATAATGTATTTTATGATACATTTTAGATGGTTGAAAGCAGTTTGTAGTGTATGTTATGATACATTTGAGATGGTTGAAAGGAGTTGAATCATAATTCATATAACTTTTGGCTGCTTCTGGGTGGTAACAGTCTGATTTGGTTGACCTGAATGTCTTCCTTGTTTGTCATTGTTTACTGCATGCAGGTAGGGAGGACGAGTTGGAAAGACATGACGTGTTGCCTCAAGTTGATAGTGGTGGTAACATGAGTTGTTTAAAACAATTAGAGGACAAGAATGAAGGACATGAATGCGGTATGAGGGTCACAGAAGACTTGAGAGAAAAACCTTTGGAGAGAGCTGTCTCAGGAGCTGCATTTGGTTTGAAAGATTGTGATGCCAAGATCTCTGAGCCCAATATTAATTCTACTACTGGAAATTCTCAGATTCCTGAGATGGTGACGTTGACTTGTATGGCGAGTCCACTTGGTTGTAATACTAAGTTGGAAAGTGGTGCCCGATGCATGCAATCAGAAGAAAAGGGGTCTGCAATTAATGTAGCGCCTGATGTCACAGGAATCCTTGTTAGTAAATCTGTCTCTGCTCTCGGTTGCCGAGTCTGATCCTGCAGCATCCAGGGAGAATGATATATATGGCTTTGTTGGGAACTGTGCTGTCTGCTGTAAGAGGCGAAGGTGCTTTGATCCTCTCTCTTTTTGTTATAAAGCCTTGCATATCCTGATTTTGGGGGATCATTTGTTTCATTGCAAATTTTTTGAAATGCTCTCAAATGAGGTTATTATCATGCATCAAGTGTGCACTTTTTTGTGTGTGTATATTGCTATGTTTGTATTGTTCAGAAAATTAAGGGCATTGCTCCTGGTCTTTCATCGTTTAGACCTAAATACCAATGTAGTCCTGTGCATATTGACCATCTTCCTATTAAGTTAATCTTTTGAGAAAGGAGCCTGATTCATCTCTCTAATAGATACTGATTTATCCAAAAAATTTAAGCATTCCTAGTTTAGTAGTCACCTGATGTATGTCCTTCTCCTTTCCCAGTGCATTCTATATTAACTTCAAGCCAGATGGGATGGGGGGTCAATTTCGAGCCTTTTACAAGCACTTTTTCCATCTCTCTCAAAGTCTCCCATTCTGAGATGTGCAACCCAGATAAACAAGTGTCACTGGAGCAAATCATCCATATTTGTGATAAAATCTTTCCTTTGCAATCTTTGTTTGGGTTTTATTAAGTTTTAGTTTAGAATTATCCATCTCTTTCAGTCCCCTTCTTTATGTGGTGTTTCACTCCTCACATTTAACGAGCATGTTTTCTCTGAATGAGTTATTTGTATAACAGAGTACCAGTTGTATAATCCCATTTTACGGTGTAGGTTGCTGTACTGTCATGGTGCTTGGTCTTACTGTTACATTTTTGCTTTGGCTTCCTAAGTTGCTGTTGGAAATAATGATCCAGAATCTCTTCTTTACATAATCTCTCGTTCCAGGATCTGCTTTTGATGTCATTCTGAACTTCAAGTAAACAGAGCTGAAGTTCTTCCTATTGCTTTTTTGATGCTTTTAGATGCTGCTAAGCCAATGGAATTGTCAACCTCTTGTTCTTTTTGAGTTATCAATCTTTTCTTTGTCAATGCCTTTACCTTAGCTCGGTTATACGTGCTGATAGGTTCCCAAGGTCATGGACTTTCTTCAACAGCTCATCAGTATAGTGAATTTTCATTACTGCTTCTTTGAATGCCCTTGTTGCTTATCCCTGTGGTGCAGACTTTCCAACCATTTGCAGAGTCCTTTGTCTTTTCTCCCAATTAAGGATGCCATAGGTGTTAGATTACTGGAGAGCACTTTGATGTATTATCTTGTTTCTGGAGGCTGAAAGAAAATTTCAGCAATTCGTCATATATAAAACTTAACTCCATATAGGGTTGAAAGAATTTCTCATAAGTGGAAATCCTAACTTCTGATACTACTTAGTTCATCTGAAAGAGCCTTTATGATCTACCACAGCAACGTACTTCAACACTTTATTAAATTATAACGTGCGTTTTGAAAATATATTGAGTGTGTTTGGATAGTAGATTATTTGGAATAATTTTTTGAAAAAAATACCGTAGCACATTTTTGATGTGATGTATGTGAGATAAAAAGGTGGTTGGAAAATGTGTTGATTTAAGTAAATAAAATTGTCAAATAAACTACAATCCAAACAAATTAAAATTGTAAACTGGCAGGTGGATGGCACAATAAACTTTGGATGAACACTTGTCTTCATGGTCTTCCTAGTCATATATTTTCAGGGATACCTTTTGGCAAAACAGTTTCTTCATGATCTGTCAGTAGTCTTACTTTTCATGAGATGTCCTTTCTAGCTGTATTATAGGCATCATATCAACTTTTTTAGCAGCCCATCTGTTAAATAAAGGCAACCATGCATGGAAACTAGCTGCCACTATCGTCGAGGATTGCCAGTGTTCATGGATGTTTACTCAGACAGGAATACTGGAGTTGATTGTCCGGCTAAATGGGTTCTTTTAACGAGGTTTTCATAGTGTTTGATGTGCCTTCATTGTGATACAGATTTTAGTACAGGATAGCATTTAGCACAGCCATCTAAGTGTGCATTTCCTTGAATGAGTACAAATGTATCTTAACTCTAAATGGTGTATTTCTTACTAAGTGTGATTTTGGTTGACTGAGTACAAATCTATGGTGAACTCTTGCTTATATTCATCATATATGAAAGGCTTTAATAAGCTTGTAAATTTACTCCATCTTACTTGTAAGGCTTATATGCTTGTGTTACTGAAGATGATAGGTGTACCTTTCTTAATTAGGTTTTTTGTGCTCTTGATCTGTTATTATATATGCAATTAAGTATGCTTGAGGAAAAAGTAAAGGCAATCAAAATTTCTTCCTTCCTTTATTACTTGAAAGAAGAAATTGAGCTAATTCATGTTGTTTTTGGTTGTGAGAGGGTATTGTTTCTCTGCATTGTCGGACCTGCCTGGTTGTTTCTTTATTCTTGGATCATATTGCTGATTCAAAGGCAGTCAAATTTTCTCTTTTCTTATCATTTGGAAAGAAGAAATTGAGCTAATTCATCTTTTTTGGCTGTAAGAGGGCATTGTTTCTCTGTATTGTCAGTTCTGCCTGATTGTTCTTTTATTCTCGGATCATATTGCTGTACATCTTGCAGTATGAAAATTTTCAATTTTTCTTCAAAATGCAAGTTACTGGTTATCAGTAGATTATATGCTAGGCTGTACGGTATCTAAAGCAAGAGATAATGCACACTGGAAAAGTTGTTGGGTGCTACTGCTATCTTTGTTTTTCGACTGGCTTTGTACATCCAGGACCCATAGTATATCATTTTTTTTGGCAGGTCAGATTATGATTCACCAAAAGAGGAACTTGTTCTTGCGGAGCTACTCTGAGCTGTACCTCAGGTGACATCTCAAGAAATAAGGTTAGTTTGTAGTAATGTTATGAATTTTGCTCTATGGTCATAATAGCACAACGTAACAGATGCATTGCTTTATTCTGAATGTGATTTTACCGTAATTGCTGTGAAAAGATGAACAAAGAATTTTAAGAATAAGCTTGAATTGCTGCCGTGGCATGACAGCTTAATTGCCAAGGCTGATAGTTAAAATTTGCATGCTATCACATGGTTTTATCTCATTAAAAATTGGCCAATTTCTTTTCACTCAATTTGGTTGGTCAAAAAGGAAGTGTTAAGGGATTACATGTAGCTTTTGCGAAGCTTGGGGCCCAATTCTTTTGCATTCAGCTCTTTGCATGGTACATGTAGCTCTTTTGCGAAGCTTGGGGCCCAATTTTTTTGTCAAGCACATGACTATATGGTAAGCTACCTGGTCAAGTGAATTTACTCAATTGCATAGGCTCCTTATATGATGATTTGAGATGTCTTTTGTTTTAGCTGTAGTTTAACACCCTCAATTGCACTGTCATGCTGTTCTGATCAGTCATTTGCTTCTTTTATTCGTAAGAATGAATTTAACTTCTGAACTTAATTATTAAGTTATAATTCTTGGTGTTTTGCATGGGAAATTGCAGCTTAGGTTCTCTTTTCTCTCCTTTAATTATGGTCATTATTTTTTTGTACATCATTCTTCCTGCACTCATGCTATCTTTTTAAGCCACGTTATTGATGGGAGTATTTTACCATGCAAAACTTTAACGTGGATGTTTGTATAAGTTGCTATTGCAATGTTGTCCACTTTTTGTTATACACCCGCATTCTATGATCTCATTATGAGTGATGATTTTCTTTTTTTGACTCTGTAAAATTTTAGGATAGTGGAAATCTTGAAGCTGCCTTTAATTCAGAATCAGTTGGGAGCCGCAAATGCATTCCAAGATCAAAGGAGACTCTTTCAGTCACCAAGACTGATGTTCAAAATGTGTGCGTGATGTGCAAGAAGGGGGGAAGCTCCTGTGGTAAATTATGCTTTTATGCTTTTATTGTTTAGACAATTTGGGAAAATGTCTTGGACTAGATTGCATCTGGTACTTTTTCTTTTGTGTGGGTATGTCCCTTTTTGTGCCTTTTCAAGCTTAATTTAGCTTTGTTGTGGTTTCACCTTGTAGTAAGGGAGTTAATGTGTTTGTACTGCTGCTTATGGGGTACCCTTTGACACTAAAATAGATTCGCTTTTTATTGCTTTAGCAGATTTATTCCTTCTCCTGTGATTTCTGTTTGACCTTAGAAGATGCCTCAAACTGTGTGACGGTTTTGCTTACTTTTTAGGTGCTGCAATGGAGAAAGTTGTAGAAGATGCTACCATGTCTCTTGTCTGGATCCTTCTTTAGTTGATGAAACACCTGGAGTCTGGCACTGTGCATCCTGTGTTAAGAAGAAGATAGAATTTGGTGTCCATACAGTGTCAAAAGGAGTAGAGTCCATTTGGGATGTTAGAGAAGTTGTAGTTTCAGATATGAAAGGTCTGGTCTGATTCCTTTGTTTTAAATTGCTTCGTGGGACAAAAATATTTGGCATGATGTTCAGAAATGATTTCTATTACTTGACTGTGATTTATTTAGGAATTATTCTTATTATGCCATTTTTGTCTTTATTGCTTCTCAGGGATACGTAGGCAGAAGCAGTATCTTGTTAAGTATCAAGGTCTTGCTCACGTTTACAATCATTGGGTATCAGAAACATTGATGCTTCATGAATCTCCTTCTCTGGTTGAAAAGTTTAATAGAGAGCATCAGGTCAATATTTTCATGGCTTAAAGTAATTGGATCATTTACTCTGCTTAAAAGTTTACTATACTTTGTTCCGGATATATGGTGATTCTATTTTTGGGCTTCAGATTGTTACATGGAACCCAGAGTGGAGATTGCCACATCGTTTGCTTAGAAAGAGACGTTTAATGTCCTTTAGCCATCAGGAGGAGTATCCAAGTTCAAACAATGATGCTGTTCCCTATTGCCAATTTGAATGGCTTGTCAAATGGCGTGGGCTTGATTATGAGCATGCTACATGGGAGGTTGATAGCATGAAGTTCCTACGTTCACCTCAAGGTCAGAGACTTGTGAGAGAGTATGAAATTCGTCATCAGAAGACAAGAAAAGTGTCTGACAAGGTGACTTTAATTACACTGTTAAATGTGCAACGTACTTTAAATTGTTTTAAGTTGATATCTTGTTAAGTGCTTGTTGGATCAACAAAATGCCTGTAAATTGGCATGCTGGGCATCAGTATTTTCTTTATTTTTACCTCCTTTCTTGAGAACTTTCTTGCTGATTTGGATCTAAGTTCTTTCTGAGGCTGTCCATCGCTGAGAGAGTGGATCTTCATGTGTGTTGCATTTTCTCTTTAGTTTGTCTGGGTATTTTTTTAAAGAGCTGGAGGATATTTGTCTCAACAAGTGATTGGATGTTGAGCTGGATCATGGATGCATTAACTTTGGCCTTTAGTTTCTCCTTAGTGGAATGTAGCCCAGAAACTTTAGTAAAATTTGAAGGTTTCACCTTGATATGGCGTGCCAGGTTCCTGGATGCATAATTGTGTTGAATCTGGTTTGGAGATTATCATCGGTTCTCCCTCAACATAAAGTTTTAGTATCGTCTTCACCTAGAAATACATGCTAATTTCCACTTAGGGTATTTATTGTTGAAAAGTATGCATATAAATATGCATACACAAAAGAGGAGTTTCTTAAGTGGAGAGTCTTTATAGCAGAGACTTCTATGCTTCTTGCTTTTCATATCCTGGTTACTATTTTGCTTTGTCCTAAAATAATTGTTATGGTTTAAAAATGGAAATAAATAGAGCTCAACTTTCCTATTGTACCCTTCATACAATTCCCCAAAAAAAATATTTTAGCGATGTTCCTTCAGTAAATAAGGTTACAAATCATCTTCATATTTTTGGTAGTTATTCCTTTTCTAATATTCCATAGTCAACTAACATAACATTGGAGTTTGAGGGGCAATAATGGAAAGAGTTGCATTGGTAGTTGATATGTTTTGGTCAAAGTTACTTTTTCTAATCTTTGTGCAAAGTTGACCATGACATATAAAATGGATGGAGGCTGTATGTTACTAACTGCTCTCTATTTCATCTATTGAGATGCTTATGTTCACTTGTCATTGTACCGAAAGTGAGTTTTGTTGGCAAAAATTTTTTGTGGTGAAAATATGAAGTGTAAAGAGTTGTGCGCGACAGAGTTGCAATTTTCATTTGTCTTTGCTTGCTGATACTGCAGAGTGCAAAGGGAGCTTTTACTGAACTGCAGAAACTTCCACCAGGAGGATCATTTAGAGCTGATGACAATATGTTAAACAATGTGAATAAGCTGCAGGAGTTTTGGTGTAAGAACCAGAGTGCTGTTGTCTTTGATGAACAGGTGAGCTTGTGAGACAGCTATGCTCGAGTTTCTTTCTTTCTGCTTCTTTCATTTTTTGCTTTTTTTAATCTTTTTTGCATTAGGGCAGTCCACATGTTCGCCCTGCCTATGAAATTTCAGAGTTAGTGTCAGCTACCTGCTTTCATGGCTGTGTTGTCACATGCGAATTTGGACCAGATGAAATTTAATGTTGTGCATACATAATTTCTTTTCTGGTTCCATTTGCTCAAGTCACAGATCTTTAGCCTAAATCTTTAAATAGTTATGTTTTTGTTTGAAAATCCAACGGATGTGTTTACAAGTGTCCCTTTTCTGGTAATAATAGCTGCCTTGAGGCTTAAGGTGTTAGCATGGGCTTGTTCAGTTGTATGATTGGAACATTTACGTAACCTTTGGTTGCAAGAAGAAGTGTAGGATATTGAAGGGAGTTATTTTCTTTTTATAAGGTGTCTTGTTGGCAGGAAGGCAGTAAAAAGTTTCCTGCATTTTCCTGCAACTTGTGTCCTTTAAAATTTGCAGTATTTTTTGGGAAACTGGTTAACTATACATAAGGATGTTAAAAACTACAAGTATACCATAACAATTGTAATTGCAGATTCTCAGTCAGATTTTCTCTTGTTAACAGAACACACACCTCTAATAAAAGAATATTAGCTGTTGCTCAAAAGGCAATTTGATTTTAGAAGTGATTTCAGAGGGAGGGATTTTTGTAATAATTCAGCAACAGTACTGAGTTCTTAAAGTAGTCATATTCAAACTTTTTATCAAACTTATCATTATCTATTATATTATAGTTACAAAAGATAAAAGTTGTGCCTCAAAAGAAGAAGCTGTTCTTGTTTACTGACTTCTTAGAAAGAAAACTTCAGACTATGAATTTCTTTCTCTTTTTTTAAGTACACATGAACTGCATGAAATTGTGAGGATGAGACCCAGAGCGTGATGCAACAACAGACATCTGAATGACTATTCATTACCATTCATCATTAGGGGTTGCAGTAACTTAATTGCTGAATAGGTATTGAATGCTCGTGAAATTTTCGGAGTTGATACATCATTGATTTGATTCAAGTACTGCTGCAACTGTTTTAGGTCTGTATTATTTCCTCCTGGTTGTACAGAACGGTAGAAAATGTCTGATTAAAAAACTTACAAGTTAATCTTTATTTTTGCTTAGTGCACTTTTTAGCTTCATTATATTTTGAAAACAACATTATTCGAAGCTAAATAGGCGATTAAACTTTTGGATGTTGATGTGTCAATTGTCTGGTAAGGTGTAAGAGCTGGCTACTGCAGTTGGTTTAATTGATCAATCCTCTTGAAAGTAGCCTATTTGGTTGATTTTGTGATTTGTTGGTTGTTGATTAGAATTCAGGTGCATAGGTCTTTATCGTGTCTTTACTTTTATTGAGTGAGTTTGTGACTTTTGTCTGTTGTACTGCTATTTGGAAATCATTTGTCCTTTCCTTTTGATAGCCCTGTAAAATGTGTTAGTGAATATTTACCCATCTATTCTGTAGAACAGTGAATTTGCAGGAAGTTTCTGGATATCTGTAAGGCACTTAGAACTTGCTTGTGCTCTATGCTGCTTTAGAGCTGGCATGAGAGTAGATGTGTTGTTTTCTGTGTCAACAATAACCTAATATGTGGTATTGTAGGTAAACTATTAGCAATTTTATGGTATTGTGGGTAATTTTTTAGTAGCCACTTTTTATTTATTTATTTTCCTTTCTTGCAATGAGGAAATTCATGGAAAATGTTAATTCTATCAATGAGATGTAGTTGAGGTGGAGGTTTAATTGTTTTTCTTGATGTCAGTGAAAGTTTGGGTATAAGTCTGAAGGTGTGTCTCCTGCTGTTGACTCAGCTACTCTTTCTCTTGATGAATTTCCCGCTGATTTTCTCCATTGAAAGCTAATGCAGTATTATCATGCATATGGATTATTTGTGCACTTACTGTGTATCGAATGTGGTGCTTGATTGTCTTTGATGGGAGTCTCAATTGCTTCCTGTAAACTATTATTGCTGCTACTTTCAGTATCTTTATAGCAGTTTGCTGTTAATGGATCATCTTTGTGTCTCGAGTAGGAAGGCTGAACTTTTGGCATTTATTTTTCCTCAAGAAAGCTAAGATGTAGCATTGACTATGTCTTCGCAGGATCGATTGGAGACTGTGATCTTATTCATCAAAGCATTGTCTGAACATCATCAGCCTTTTCTCATTGTTACAACTTCCGCTGCTTTGTCCCAGTGGGAAGTTGAATTTATGCGAATAGCACCGTCAGTTGATGTCATAGTTTACAGTGGAAATAGGGATACCAGGAGCATCATCAGGACACTGGAGTTCTATGATGAAAGTGGTGGTATATTGCTTCAAGTATTGTTATCTACTATGGAAATTGTTAGTGAGGTATGGTCCTGTTTCAGTACATTGCTGCACAATCTTTTAGGCCACAGAACATTTAGATGATAATTGGTTCTGTGTCCAAGTTGTTAGTAATCACAAAATTTTTGGGGATTGAGTTCTACTTCTTTAGGATGTGGCAGCAACTGAATATTCTGTGTAAGATTCTTTGCAAGTCAGATGTTATTTTTACAGTATAGATGGGGTGTTGGGAATGTGGGAAATTTTGTGGGAAGAAAAAGTGCTGGTACAGTGATGGGTTTTATGGTCTTTGATTTGTGCTGGTTTTGCTATTGGCTGCAGGATTTACAAACTTTTAAAGAGATTAAATGGGAAGCAGTTATAGTTGATGAGTGCCAATCTAGGAGTATGAACACAAATGTGGCACTTATTAAGGTGCTTCAAACGAATGTGAGGCTGCTTCTTTTTAGCAGTCAACTAAAGGTACTTTTCTCCTTTTAGCTTTTTCTAGTTGTTTGATTCGTGTGGAATGTGAAGGAGATTTAAGAGAGGGAAATAAAGGGGCTGTAAAACCTTCCAAAATGCGCAGGATGTTGTAGCTGAGTACCAGTATGTTTTGTCATTGCTTGATTCTTCTGGAGATCTGAAGTTGAACCTGAGTGATAATCTTGTTAAACTGAAGGAGAGCTTATCACATTTTACAGCATATGGAAGCAAATTTGGGTCTTCTAAGTTTGTGGAGTACTGGGTTCCTGTTCCGATATCAAACTTGCAGCTGGAGCAGTACTGTTCCACGCTAGTTACAAACACTATTGCTCTTTGCTCTCCTTCAAAGAGGGATGGTGTTGGGGCCCTCTTAGATATTCTGAAGACACTTCGGAAGGTATACACAATCGGTTTGCAGCTTTGCATATAATTTTTTCTGTGTTTTACAGTACGCAATGCTATTTTCACCCATATGTGTTTGCATTCATGTTATCTAGCTCGAATATGCTGTCTTTGTTCTCTTTAAGGGAACCTGTCTTGATTTCCTCTTTTACATCTAATAATTAGAGAAGGCGTGCTAAAAACATATGTAGTCTTCTTACAGTTGAACTGGAAATATTTTAATTTTCATTTTCTGGTTTTCCTTTACAGTGTTGTAGTCATCCTATACTGTGGACTTGTATACTAAAACCTCAGTCATTAAGGGACTCCAAGCACCTGAGATGTTGGATGTTGGAATAACGGCTAGTGGCAAACTACATCTTCTTGATCTGATTCTTTCTAAGATTAGAAGACGGAAGCTTAGAGTTCTCATCCTTTTCCAGGTATATAATTTGTCTATTCTGTTGACATACAATTGTGGAACTTTCTGTCTCCGGGAAATTATTTTTTTGTTGCTACTGCTGCTGCTGCTGTTGTTGAATTTTCCCTTTTTCTTTCAAAGAACACAATTTTTTTTTGGGGTGAGGGTGGTTGGAGAGGAAATAGCAGGCAGGGAATGGTAGTGACTAGGATTGAACCCCTTTTAAGACAGATCGATGGCGGTGGCTATATTTGGTTTCAAGCACATCATCCTGATTGTTGGATGTTGTAATCTAAGGAAACAGCAGTTGTTTGAGGATATGTCTGAAGTGGAAATTTTTCTTAGTGCAAGAAAACAAGTGAACCAAAAGTATGACAAAGAAAGAGGAGCTCATATTTGTTTTCCCTCCTATTATTCCTACTTCCTTCCAAATGGTGAATACCTCCTGTCATTTTCTTTCCCTTCTTGTCACCACAAAGAGCGTATAAAGAATTTTCTGAACATTTTGGGATCAGTAAAACCTGCCCCTTTTCAAAGCGCAGTTGCATTTTCAATGCCATCCCATGAACAAGAAGAATGCAAAAGGAGATGAGGAATTGATTCCTTTGGTTTTGTACTTATATCACATGGAACTTTGGGAGTGCCTACCCCTTGCTCTGCTTTGGTCCAGCATTTGTGATGATACACCTTTAAGTGCTGATTCTTTTGGTTTGCGAGGAATAAGTTTGCTTTAGAGACCAAAAAAGGGGTTGTCTCTAGGGTTGTCTCCTTCAAGTTCGGCAAATTCTTGTCCATAGATCCTTAAATATGAAGCCTTTTATCTTTGTGAATGATGCAAATTCTTTGAGAGGTTTTTTTTTCTAATTTACATCTTCATTCATGATTCCCTCAAGTGTGAAAGGTGTTGAAGTAAATTTTGTGGGGATAAAATGGAGAAGAATTATTGTAATCTTGTTTTTTTCTCAAGACAGATTTGTTATTCTATTAGATCCGATCTAGTATGCATGGCTTCTTCCTAAAGCTAGTTGTATACAACCTTCCCCTTGCTAGTTAAAATCCTGCTGTCAGCATTGAACCTTGATCTTCTGATTTTGGTGGAAGTATAAAGAACCTTCAGTTTTTCGTATGAGCAATTTTTGGAAGTGGTAACATAGCTGAGGCAAAGCAGGATATGGAGACTTTGGTTGAAAAATATAAGAAGAGTAAGTGCTTTCTCTTACAATTGGCATTGAAGTCATTCTGTAAGATAGTTAAATTCTATTTTAAATTCTGTTGGTGGCCCTCTAACAATCTTACCTGTATTCCCTTTTGAATTGGTGGTTGACAGGAAGGAATAGCTGTAGTTTATTTTGGAGCATTATAGTAAATTAATGTGGTTGTTTGTAAGCAGCAGGTGTAATAATCTGGAGTATACTAGTATCTCGGATTTTATTTTCTTTGGAGTGCCAGGTGGACTGTTGAGTATTTCAGTAAATGTCATCGCATGTGGTCACAGAATCTGTGTGAACTATTTTCCCATTTGATTTTTTTGGGCCAAATTTTATTTGTACTATATGGGACATCTGGATCCGTAAGGAACACATTATTTCTAGGGTTTGTCAATTAATGTTTATTAGCCATTCTTTTGATGCTTGTGTCTTAGGTTTCTTGGGCCTTTGACTTTCTTCTACTTGGGGAAGTGTTGAGTTATGGCTGCAACTGTATTATTGTGGTGCAGTTTCATTTGTTAAACTTCAGATCTCTCTCTTCTCTCTCTCTCACACACACATGCATACGTGCAGACATTCTTTTATCATTCTTTTAATGGTCTTTCACATGCATGAAGATATACACATGGAGGGGAATTGGAAATACATTCTTTTTATTTGAAGTTGAAGGAGGATTCATTGTGTTTGCATAGTGTATTGTTGCGCCTTTTACTGACAGCTTGTTCTTCTATGGGGAATCATTTTCAAGCATATGCATTTTGGGATAGACCTGTTACCTTCTTCTGTCATGGCTTATAATTTGCTTTTGTTTTCCCCTTCCAATGATAGTCAAATGGCAGTTCTGAGGGAACACCTATTGGAAGCATATTGGAAGATTTTCTGGCTCAAAGGTTTGGACAAAATTCTTACGAGGGTTTTGGAGCAACTTTTGACATAATGACAAAAAGACAGGCTACTATGGACAGGTTCAACAGTAAGGAAGGCGGAGAGTTCGTGTTTTTGTTAGACATTCGGGCTTGTATGCCAAGCATCAAGTTGTCAGTGGACATTGTTGTCTTGTTTGATACTGACTGGAATCCTGCAAATGACATGAAGGCTCTACAACGAATTTCCATCATTTCACAGAGTGACCAGATCAAAGTTTTTAGGCTCTATTCATCGTATACTTTAGAAGAAAAAGTATTGATACTTGCAAAACACAACAAGAATGTTGAAAGTAACTTGCGAAGCTCAAGTCGTGCTACTGATGACACTCTTCTCATGTGGGGTGCCTCATACTTGTTTAGGAGGTTGGACAATTATCATGCAGAAAAGAGCACTGCATCTGCTGCCGATGTTTCATCTGGACAACAGCGGCTATTGGATGATATTGTTAAGGATTTCATGGCCAAACTTCTCGATGTTTCTAAGAACAACAATGAACATGATTCTATAATTTCAAAAGTTTTTCATAGTGAGGGTGTTTACCATTCAGATTGTTTGTTGCTTGGGGAGAGAGAGGTTAAGTCAACTGATGGAGAAGAACGCCAGATATATTGGAAGAAGCTGTTGGAGGGACGGAATCCTCGGTGGAAATTGTTGCCTGGATCAACTTTGAGAAGCAGGAAGAGAGTTCATTATGCTGAGAATGATGAACCTGCAAAGAAGCACCAGAAGGTGTTAGATGGTTCTGATTCTCCATCTTTTCAACCTGAGGTTGAAGAGAGAATTCAAGCTCCAGGATCAAAGGCAGGTAAATGTTAAAGGAAATGCTCACTGTCATACTTGATAAATCGAAAGCTTTTGTTTACTTCATCTTCTTCCTAGTTAAGTTGTTTCATCTCTTTGATTGGTGAGAGGGTCTATACTTAAGCAGAAGCATCTGTGTCTGCAGCTGCCAATCAATCTGAGTCTTTGCCAATATCAGTTTCTTGTACATTGGGCAATGCAACAAAGCTATTCCTCTTTCTGGTGAGAATCCTTTCTCACATGAGAGTGACATGGCTCATCTTGAAGAAAGAACACCAAATGAACAGAAGAGCCTTCATATTCTTCTGAGAGCAGAGATGGCTAAACTTTGTGATGTTCTAAAGCTTTCGGTAAATATCACATTCTTTTCCCATTTTTGTTGTTACTTTCTTTTTGGCATATATGGGGCATGGATTGGGCTTAGGAATGAGTGAGCTGCTACGGGCTGGGATGGATGATAAGAAGTATTAAGGCTGGATAATGTTGAATTCTACTTTTAGTAAACTTTTCTCCACTTTTTGTTGTTCATTGATATTTGGATTTTAGGAGTTAAGGTTGATGACTTGGGTAGTGCTTGGATAGTGAAATGCTTTATGAAGATTTATAGAGCAGAATGTGATTGTTTGTACATTTCTTTCTTATTATTCTGAGAGATTACTTGCATGTGATGGGTAGTCATTGGCCTCTAATAATTTCCTTTTCCATTTTTTACTATTATAACTCATTCCCAAAATTATATGCTATCTTTGGAGGTGGTTTGTAGTGCAATGCTTAGATTAAAAAACCTAGGAATGGCAGCCAATTTTATAAAAATGAAAAATGAAATCATGTTTGTTGATGTAAGAATCTAGCAGAACCTTTTGCAGTGTTATTAAGGTGTCAACTGGACATTTTGTTTGAAATTCAAGCTTGTTTCTTCATCTCGGTTTTGCCTATATGAAGACTTGTGGTCAATGGCATTCCTATGGTGGGAACGGGAAGCAGCTTGATTTGCTTCAGAAAACTTTTCATGCTTGCCTCCAGTTGCTGATTAATGTTTGGTAAATGAACTCTTTTAGCTGAGGCAGTTTCTTTATAGTCTTGAAGATGACAGCGCATGGTAATTTACTATACATTGGAAAAATGGAACTGCGCAATCTCTGTGGAGCATTGTGGTTTGCACCTCCAATTATATCAACTGCACGCACTAGTAGTATGCCTATTCTGTTATCTGGGATGCTGATTCTGTACTTGTGGAAATTCAGTGTGAGTACTGCCACGAATTTTCCATTTTTAACTTATGTCCATCATTGACAATGCTTCCTCTAGTTAGTTGAAGCCAATGGTTACTTTCCATGTTATTCTCCTATGCAGATCATTATTTGTCTTGAACTGAAATGTCCTTGCTGGTTAGACAAGTATGTCCAAGCACCTAGTATGTCTAATTCTGATGTTTGGCTGTTTGAATGCTTTTTTGTGCAGTCTCTAATGTGGGTCCACTTTTCTAAATGCAGAATGGTGTGAATTCTATGGTACAAAACTTTCTGGATATGTCATGGAGAATCGTCATGTTAACAAGGAACGAGCCTCTATCCTACAGGCTTTTCAGATGTCTCTGGTTCGTATTTTCTGCCTCATCTATCTTTTGTGTCGTGCTCTGACTGATCATTTATTCGTCATTCCCTTAGATGATACCTAAGTGGGTTCACTATTAAAAGAACACTTATCCTAAGTTTCAACTGTTGCAGCCTGGTTTGTTTATGCTTACTGACACAGATTTACATTACCCTAATTTTTCAAATTATTCTGTGGAAGACATTTCCAACTAACTTTATGGTTGGATATTTAGGGCTTAATAGTGCAAGAGAAATTGCAGAACGATTTTTTCTTTTTTGGGGCAACATTTTATTGAAATGCAGGCAGCTATGCATCCCACCTTTCCACACCCATCTTCAAGGAAGATGATTTACTCATTCTTCTTCTAGTCTTCTAGGGACATTTACGCTGAGAAACTCCTCTTTGCCACCCACACTTCCCTCTTCCCACCAAAAGATTGAGAGGGAAAATATCCTACAAGTTTAAGGGTGATGCTTCAGAATGATGAATTGGGTTCAGTATCCATGGATTGTAGATTTAGTTGCCATCTCTGGTTTGCCTTGAGTTCAGTTTGTTATCTTAACAATCCACTACCCGTGGTAGCATTAATTGGGCAACCCATTTCCTCTTTTTTAGGCAGGTTTTGCTGATTTATCAATCTCTTTTGTACGTTGCAGTACTAGAAGTTGAAAGAAAGGAATGCTCAGTTCATAGTCCTCATAGGCTTTAGTCCTGTAGTATTTTCTTATTACCCTTGCATATCTTCCATGAACTAATCAGCATGCCAAGATCATAACATTGTCAAATATCATCATATTAGCTAGTGTCTTAAATATTACTTGTTCTAATTTCCTAACAGAGTCTTACCTATCAGGCTGGTTATGAAGAAGACAGGCGCAGTTATTTATGAATGTTTGACAATTCCTTGGGTTTTTATGGAGTCATTTCCCTGAATGCCTTCTTTGGTTTAATTAGCTACTAAAGTGTGTAATGTTGATATGCATTGAAGGTCATGCAATTAGAAAGATTCGGTACCATGAGAGTTTGATTTTCTGATATCATAATTACTCAATGAAACAACTTGACGTGCATATTAAGTAGAAGCTTTCTTTACACAGTATTACTTTGCATGGTCTTTCTTTCTGCAATATCTGTTGATATACAGTTGTGAATCAGTTGGGGGTTAGGAATGTAAAGTAGAGACCCTTAGAGGATCGCTTTTGGTCTCATGGCATGAATTAGGGTGGCATTTGGTTCAAGGGTATGAGAATCAGGATTTGGAATCATGTCCAATTTTTATGTTTGGCGAATGGGTATGGGGTTTGAAATTTTGGAATGATTTCTAAAAACTTGGTAACTCTCATTCCGAGTAAGTTGGGAGGTTTTGTCAAATCCTCCATCTGATTCCAAAATAAGTTTTATTAAACCTTTTTTTGGATCAATCACCTTCCCTTCTCTCCTCTGACCGACTCCTTCCTCCTCCCTTTCCTCTCCTCCCCCCCCCCACCCCAGTAAACCCATTCCTCTTCTCTCCTCAAAAATTCCCCTCTTCTTACCTCCAGTATGCCCCTTTTCCCTCCGATTTCTCATCCTCCATCCACCTTTAGCATTGACCAGTCTTCCCTTCAACACACCACTTCTCACTTACTGTCAAGTCATCCCCAATCCTTACCCCAATTGACTTCTTCCTTCTCCTTGTGAAATCAAAGTGATGGCTCATAGCAACATTGAGTTGTGCCATTAGGTGGACAATATTTGGGGCTGCTGGAGATTAAATCTCGATGGAGGATGGAAATTGCTATTTGGTTCCTTGGATAATTTTTGGATTTTTCTACTCGTGTTCCAAGTTCCAACTATTGGCAAGGAGAAACGTAAAGACGAACTTGCCAAATCTTCTATTTGGGAGTTTATGCTGTTGATTGGTGATTGGAGAGTAAAAAACCAAAAAAGGCTCAAGATTGATATAAGCAGAGGAAACATACTGTGAAAAGAAAAAGAAAATATTAATTTTGAGTCCCATTCCAATGGATTTTGTACCAAGCACTAATAATTACAATGATCCCAGTCATTTATACCCATGCCGATTCTCTTTATATCATTCTGTTTCCAATTCCAATTCTGGAGCCTGAATTAAACACCCCCTAAGAAGATCCATGGCAGTATTCTGAAGATTGACATTAGTAAATGAGTAGGTACTCCTCTCTATTCTTATCCATCACTTGCTTGGATTTGCTAACAGTCGAGCACTTCCATGGGTCTATAGATTCCCTCTGCTCTAAGTCTGTCTCGTTAAAATAAGTGTGTCATCTTATTGTAGCATTAAGCAATTTTATCCTAGCTTGTATACCAATGATTTGAGCCAATTTAATTGATTTTACGGCTGGACATATGCTGTTGATATTTACTGTGTGAGATTTTGATTGGAGTGACATTTTTATGCGTGGGCACTTCGTGAAGACATTCTTTTGACCATAATGTGATATAGTTATTTATCATGGTATCATTATGTAGAACTACTCTGAATGCATTTAGCATCTCGTAGTTGGCCATCCAGTGGCTTCTGAACATGCAGAACTTTTGTGGATGAGTAATCTCTTTTGCATGCTCAGCTGCAAGCATACAAATTTATTGAAGTTTAAAGAAGGCTGATGAGTGTCAATGTTTTTGCCTCTGGGAATGATTATAATAATATGATGTTTCATTACTTTATTTTCCAGTGTTGGATTGCAGCTTCAATCATGAAAGAAAAAATTGATCGAAGGGATTCTCTTAATCTAGCGAAACATATATTGAATTTTCAATGCACCAAAGAAGAGACAGACATAGTTTATGATAAATTACGGCCATTGAAGACCAAATTTTTGCAGCTTTTAAGAAACAAGAATGGCTTAAAGCCTTCAAAGAGTGTTGTATCAGCATCAGAAGATGTTACAGAACAGTCACTAAAGGCTGGGGAGCCACCATCAGAGTTTTTTAAGCTGCAAAATGTGAAAGTTGAAATTGAAGAGAGCTCATTTAATCTGGAACCTTCCCAGTGGGGAACAATAGATCAGTTAACAGTACATGATGTGGTTAGAAAGAAGTTCAAAAAGTTACAGAAGAAACGTGATAAAAACATGTTAAAGCTTCATCAAAAGCAAGAGGAGGAAATTCAAAAGTTCCACGAAATGCGAGAGCAGACGAGGATTCAATTAGAGATGAACACCGGCTGGAGTCAGCTTTCATACGCACAACATACAATCAAACTGCAATGGAGATGGATAAGCTTAAGATAGCAGACAGTGAATTTGAGAAGAAAATTCAAGAGCATGAATGTATCATGGAAATGCAACTTAAACAGCTTGAGGCAAGGCATGCAGCTGCAATTGAAGAAGAGAGTAAAAGAGTTGCTAATTTTTTAGCCATGATGAAGTCTGGCTTGAGCGAACACAGAAATGTCAATGAGCAGCATATGCATGGATCTGAATATTGTGAAATGGGGTCGTCTGAGGGTTCTGGACGTATTACTTCAGAGTATAGTGAGAATGAGGTCCTTCATTCTAGACCTGATTTGGGAGAACAAAGTCCTGATAGAATAGTGCATGTAAGTCGAGGTAGTATTGTGATAGTGTCTCACATACCAGTGACTGCAGCAGATGATGCTACTGGCTATAGTACGCAATCTAAAACAGTACCCATTGCAGTGAATTCAGTCTCAGATGAGGCATTAGAGATTGTGGCAGCTGAAGCATCATCTGTTACCAGAGTTGACCAGTCCAAAGAATCAAGTCGCACCTCTAACTTTACTCCTGAGGTTAATGCAAAGCATGCAGGTTCTTGTAGCGTTCCTGATGAAACATCACCTGTTTTGCTGCATTCAACTTCTGAAAAGGCGTTGGACTATACCAGTTGGCGCATCATCTTTTATCATATTTGATCAGCCCAAAACAGCAGAATATTTATCTCAGACATCCCAGGAGATTACTCCTAATTGTTCCTCTAATAGAGCTGAGGAGATCGTTTGCATTAATCTAGCTACTTATAATGGGCAAAATACTCATGAAATTTCATCAAGTGGTCAAGATAATGAGATACCTTTAGGGCTGCCTAGGACAGCTGGATCTGAAATTGGGAATGCCTTCACTTCAGAAATGGGTGCTCTTCTCGAGTTTAATACAGAAAATGGTACAGGAAATTCAATAGGTTCTGATGTCGGGGGAACCAGGAAGGTCGGACTCATAACTCCATTTGCGGAACTGCTCTCTCTGGACAAATGCAATCAGTAGATCTAATTATGGTGCAAACATTTCCTCCTCCAGATTCGCCTCCACAATGTGTACGTAACAATTTCTCTAGCCAAACCCTCTCAATTTTATTCTTTTTAACAAAATCCATTGCAGCATTGGAGGTGCAATGAAAGATGTTTTCCTCAATCAATTTTGTATAGGTGTATTTAATATTTATGATTGATTTTAATTGATTTTTATTACATGGATTAGTTTTGATTTATAACAGCCAACAGTTTTCACAGTTAAAATATTAGTCACCTACTTGAAAATAGATTTATTACTTGAGTATGTTTTACAGGAAAGTGAGATTTGTTGTAGTGTTCAAGTTAATTGAAGAAGGTGTGGTTTGCAACTTTTGTTCAGTGCACTTAGATTGACAGTTTATGTTATGTTATAGTTAAAAATCATTCAGTCTTGAGGATTCTGAATGTTATGTTGGCAATTGTCAAAGAAGGGAAGTTGAAAGTCTATTTTGGAACCGGATGAGTAAGTAGTGTCATTGATGTGAATTAGTTCGTCTCTGCTTTCATGACTTTTTGGACTGGATGAGTACTAGTTTCATTTTATGTGAATTACTTCATCTCTCCTTTTACTGACATTTTGGAAATGGATGAGTAACTAGTGTCATTTTATGTGAATTAGTTGATCTCTCCTTTTACTTTCTGCTACATTTAAATTTCTTTGTCTTATGTTCTTTGTTAGGTTGAGATTTGTTAACATTATCACAGTTAAGCTGATGTATGTACAATAGATTAATAAGTATTCGACAATTGAAATATGGGCCTTTGTCATTTGTCCGGTTGTCTAGTGTTTTCAGTGCTGTCGAGAAGGTAGTTCAAATGTGGTCTAATATGGATATTATTATTTGGAGAATGTTAAAGTTAGATATTAAATTGTTAGGTGATGCATGATGAATTCCTAATATGGATTCACCTTATATGCAGATTGAAGACTTGCCAATTGCAGGAGATCTGAATACAGCAGTGGGATTGGTAAGCTCTACACCGCTTGAAGCTGGATTAAACATTCAGTTAGATAGTGAGCAGTTGCAGCTGGCTTCCAGTTCTTCATCTCCTGAACAAAGTCAACCTGCTGCTGAAGCCGTTCACCAAGTTCCAATTGAAGGGAGTAATTCTCTACAGAACTCTGATGCTTCTCCCCAATTCTTTGAGAGGTCGGCGAAGCTTTCTCATGAAGCTGTTTTGCTGGCTGGGGAAAACTTGGTGCAGCTGGTTTCTGAATGTTCACCTCCCGTCTGCAGTCAATCTACTGCTGCTAATGCTGTTCGCCAAGCTCATACTGAGACTTCTGAGGCTTGTATTGGAGAGAATTGGTGCACCCAGCTTCCGATTTTTCTTCACGTGTCTGCAGTCAACCTGCTACTTCAGAAGCTGTTCAGCAAAGTCATGTTGAAGGGAGCAACTCTAGACAGACCTCTGACACTTCAACCCAATTAGTTGAGGAATCACTGGAGCTTTCTCACCAAGCTCTTTCTCAGGATGGAGAAAACTTGGTGCAGCTGGCTTCCCACCATTCATCTCCTGTTCGTAGTCAACCAGCTTTTGCTGAAGCTGCTTACCAAAATAATGTCGATGGGAGCAACTCTGTGCAGACCTCTGAGGCTTTGACAGTGGATCGCTTGGTGCAGCTGGCTTCTAATCTTTCATCTCCTGTCTGCAGGCTGCCTCCTATAGCTGAAGCTGTTCACCAAGGTCAAATCAAAGGGAGAAACTCACTGCAGGGCTCTATCCAATTGGTTGACACATCTGCAGAGCTTTCACTTGATAATGTTCCCCAGAACTGTGAAAACTTGATCCATCCCGCTTCCAATAGTTTTACTCCTCTGTTAGTCAACCTACTGGCTGCATCTGTTGATCAAGGCCATATTGAGAGGGCCAACTCGCTGCGGATCTCTGAGGCTTCCAATCTTTCATCTCCTGTCTGCAGGCAGCCTACTATAACTGAAGCTGTTCACCAAGGTCAAATTGCAGGGAGCAATGCACTGCAGACCTCTGAGGCCTCTATCCAATTGGTTGACAGGTGTGCAGAGCATTCACGTGATGATGTTCCCCAGAGCAGCGAGAACTTTGTCCATTTTGTTTCCAATTGTTCATCTCCTCCTGTGTGTAGTCTTCCTTCTGCAGCTGAATCTGTTGATCAAGGCCATATTGAGACGGACAACTCGTACAGACCTCTGAGGCTTCTTCCCCTGTGGTTGAAGGGTCAGTGGTGCTTTCTCAGCTAGCTGTTTCTCTAATGGGGAAAACTTGGTGCCCTCCTTCAACTGAAGCAGATCAGGCTTAAATTTACAGACAATCACTGGAACTAATCATGACTGCATGCGGAGCTGTCTGTGGTGTCCCACAATAGCGTGGTTCCAACTCAAGCGTTGACAATGCAGCTGAACTCATTAACCAAGCTCTACAACAATCCAGGCCTAACGTGGCCGTAGCTGAAGGATCAGCTCACCTTTCAGTACGTCAACCGCACCATGTAGCTTCTTCAATCTACCTCTACCTCTTCAGGTTGACCCACTTCAAAATGAATTGGAGAGGATACGTAAAGAAGTGGAACAAACTACTACACTTCATGATAGCACGGTAAAGTTTAAGCTTGCTTCTTGGTTACTGCACGTGTAGAGCAAAATCTTTTTCATGACAGCTTTTTTGGCATTCAACAGAAGCTGCGGTTTCAATCTGAATGTGAAAAGGAAATAGAGGAAATGATTGCTCAAATTCGTAGCAAATATGAAGCAAAACATAGAGATGCTGAGACAGCATTTCTGTTGAAAAAGACTGAACTGGATACAAACCAGAAGAAGGTTCTTATGAACAAGATATTAGCTGAAGCTTTTCGCTCTAAATGCTTGGATCTTAAGCCTTCTGCGGTTTTATCGATGCAGCAAGGTACTGAGCTTTTGGCATGTCTTGATATGTGTGAAATGTTACAGCCCGTGTTTTATGTGTGGGGTTATACAGTATTAAGCACTTAATTCAACCATTGTAAAGTTGGCATTCTTGTTTGGCTTATTAGATCTTGCATTGGCACTTTATGTTTGCAATGCTAATGTATCATAATTTTTTACTAATGTCTGGTTAATTGCTCCGGAGTCAAAATGTTCTTTAGAGTATTAGAAACTTTGGACTAATCCTTCAAGCTTCTTGATGCTCCTCCTGCCTGACCGAGGAAGACACTTCTCAAGTAGAAAATTAAAAAAATTGCTGATTCAATATCTAAACTGCTGATCTTCAAGTGTATTTGCAGTCAAATTTATTCCTTGATCTAAGTTTGTAACACTTGACTCTTTTAAGCTTAAAGTCAAGGATATGCGACTGAACGTTAATTTTGCTGATTGACTGAATTACTTTTATCTTCTTTTGAAATAAGAACTTTTCTATGTGGCATATCCTCTTATTATTTGGTAAAGTATCTGTGTGTGATTTTCCAAGACAAACTGATTTGGAACTTTTCAAAGATGAAAAATGCCACTAGTGCTGGACCTTTATCTGAACTATTAATTGGTCTTTTCTTTTTTTATCGGGGATTTTTTTTTTCTATTTTTAGAAATTTTGAGATCTAAATTTAGTACATGTTCTTTTCCGCAGGTGCTCCTGTCAGTTTCATTCAGCGGGTGAATCAGTTATCCTTGCAGCCTACAGGGAGACATCCCTCTGTTGCTACCTTGTCTCCTGCTGGCCTACCTTCTGTGAGTCAACAGACTGCAATGCCACCTGTACAATCTCTTCATCGTTCTTCAGGACTTTTTCCAAGTGTTCCTGCAAGACCTCCCCAAATCAGTGCCATTACCCCTTCTACTGGTGGTGTTCGAGTTAGTGGAGAGAAGTGCGCCAGCCCCACATCTTCAACCTTTCAGACTACCTGGTTGCACGTCTGCAGCTGCTAGTAGCTCGTGCATTCCCGGCAATATTCCCAATCAACAGGTGCCAATCAACTTGCCTGCAAGATCTGTGTCACTTCCCCTGTTCCAAATCAACAACCACTGCCATTGCCTTCACAATTCTTGCTGCAACAAAACCCCTTACCCCCAACCCAACCAACAGCTGCACTGCAACCGAGCAGGATCAGTCAAGCTGTTTCTAGTAGTAGGCCTTCTCAACCTGAAAGTGGAGTTCATCCAGGTTGTCATAACCCCAGTCAATCTGCGGTGGAGTTGCTCATGGATATTGATAATCAAGCTGGTGGCCACTGCCTACTATATTGCAGCACTTAGCTGGCTCTGGTTTAAATACGAGCATGCTAGATCCATCAGTCACCAGAGCACCGGGTAATGTGGACCGTAGCCTAAAACTTCCAGCTGTAGCTTCTGATGTTGTTTGCTTGTCTGATGATGAAGACTGACCAATGTAAAACGCATGTAATGTTGCCCACTGGCAAATGCATCTTTTGCTAAGTAACCTGTCTAGTGTGTTTTCAGTGGGACGTTTGATCATGTCCCTCTATAAAATGGAATGGAAGTTGTGGTACATGTTCAGCTGACAGCTTTCCATAAAGCTCTCACTAATCCTGTTAGTTTACAAATGACAGTTGCATATGACTTGTTAACAGCTAATAAACGATTTGCAACAGTATGTTTTGAGATCTAAAGGCATGCGAAGGAAGCTATTCGTTAATTCAGTCATTTGGGATGGAGCAACTCTATATTTTAAGGGCCCTGTATATATTCCTCTTTGTTTAAATGGGTAGCGTTCAGTCCACCTTAAGATTGACTTTTTCCATGTATCCTGAGGTATACATATGTGTAGACGTAGTACATTTTTTTCTTTGTTTGCAAGTTGGTCTCATACTCAGCATGAATGAATCCATTCCTCTTCATCGGGGGTTGTCGATTTCCATTCCTCTTCACCTGAATAGAATTTTCAGTTACTGTCATTCATCGAATCAAACTCTCGACTCTCGTAGCGGCTGCAGCCTTCGGAATCATAATCAAACACGAATAAGTTGCAATTTCTGGTTTTCTGGCATTAAATTTGTTGATCCCTGATGCTTGACTAGATTCAAACCTTTTTTGGTGGTATGAATATCCCCCAAAGATGTATGATGGCTGCTTTCAAACTCTAATGCAGGAAAGCCGCTTCAGACTGCTTTCCATGGAAGTTGCTGGCTACGATTAAAAGTTGGATACATGTAATAGAAAATGTAGCTATTTATCTTTTTAGTGGATTTAAGGACATTTCCTGAAATTAGTGTGTCACAACTGCAAAGTGCCTGTACTATCACGTTCTCCTACGGGAATTAGACTTGGTGTAGGGAACTGCTGTAGGCCCTTATTGTGATAGTATCTGTTAGATTTGGGCAGTGACCAAATGTGCCTGGGCAATATAGCAATTCTTTTTCATGCATAAAGAGAATTGGATGATCGTGTAGATAACATGGAGGAAATTAGAGGTGCGAATGGATATTAGCGTTTCAGCAGCCTCTCAGTGACCTGTTGGTTAGGATGTAATTGATGACGTGGGTTTACTTGTTTAATGCCCATTTATTCCTCCACTCCCTGCGGGACACACCTAAAAAAAAAAAAAAAAAAAATTCCTCCACCCCTCACAAGGAAGGGTTTTGGAGAGGGGGGGGGGAATGGAGGAGAACGGTGATAATTGAAGTTTTTACGGCAGTAGGATGCATTCCAGTTTTTTCACCAAGTTCTTTTTTTTCAAAAAGTTGGTTTAGTGGTTAAGTAGTTACTCCATAACCCTAGGTTGGTATTTAGGGTTGCATGAATCAAGCAGCTCACGAGGGCTCATAAGGCTTCTCAATTAAAGCTCGAGTTGATCAAGTGCTCAGAGTAATTCAATTTGTTAGCTCGTGGAAGTTAATCATGTATGGAAGTAAGGATGTTAGTAAAAACAATATACGATGATTCAAATCCTTACAAAATTTGAGAAATCCCAACAAATTACAATAATTTATCTGTACATAAATCACGAGAGACAAAAAGATAGAGAAAAATAATAGATGGAAGTAGGAGTAGATGGTGATAATTGACAACAACAACACACAACAACAACAACAAAAAAAAAAAGTAGAGAAAAACAGTTTGCTACTACAGTAAAACAAAATATTCCTCAAGGAAGCCTGCTCTTCTGTCGGCCTTCACCGAGTACAACAGCTAAAATCTGCTCAACGTGCCGTGGAGTGGCATTTAACACAAGGGTAGCGGAGCACCATTCCAATCTTTGAGACACTCGAGCAATGGATCGACCATCTTACCATCACAAATTGCGGAGAAAACCTTATCAAATTCCTCTCCAGGTGACTTTGCCTTTTCTCCTGTCAAGAATCCAGTCGCCAAATCTTCCCTCACAAATTTGTATAAAGGGTAAGACCTGCATTTCTTGATCCTATTTGGGACTGCAGGATTACCACTTTCACATGCATTTCTTGCACTTTCAACTTCTATTGGCAAAAGGGTCTTCAGCTCTTCTTCAAAAGCTCCAACTTTTAGGAAAATCGAAGTGTTTGGATTTAGGTCCTCATTGTTGATCAGGGCATGATCAACAAGGACTTGCCTTAGCTTTTGCATCAGTGGATAAGTTGCACTGCAAGGATCATCTATGTATGTAAACACGTATTCACGCTCAACCACTTTAAGTAAATCTTTTTCACAGAATCTTGAAGGATGAAGCTCCCCATTGATGCCTGTGGTCAGAACCTTTTTAGCGACTTGGTGAACTGTGCTCTTGACAGCGTTTTTCAAATTTTCCTCCAAATGCCTCAGATCAATTGCCTGACAAAGTGCCACTAGGTAAGTTGAAGACATCAGTTTCAAGATGTCTACTGCTTCAGCTGCTTTTCTAGAAGAAATCAATCCTAAAGAGTTAACATCCTGATTGTGTTGCTCGGCACTCTGTACATGATTTGTGACAGGGTTGGCCAAAAATTGAAGCTCAGAACAATAGGCGGCCATTGCAATTTCGGCGCCTTTGAACCCATAATCCAAGCTAGGATTTCTTCCTCCAGATAGATTAGAAGGCAAGCCATTATTGTAGAAATCATTGACGAGCTCAGAAAATTGAGCAAACATGAGTTTCCCTATGGACGCTATAGCTAATCTGGTGTTGTCCATTGACACACCAATTGGAGTCCCCTGAAAATTCCCTCCATGCAAGGCTTTGTTTCTCGACACGTCAATCAAAGGGTTGTCATTGACAGAATTGATCTCCCGTTCAATCGATTTTGTCGATGATCTAATAACTTCAATCAGGGGTCCTAGCCACTGTGGTGAAGTACGAAGGGCATATCTATCCTGTTTAGGCTTCTGGAGGGGATCCGTTTCATGCAATGCCTTTGCTGCCTTGACATAGGAACTGCCATCTAAAATGTGTTCCATTATGGCTGCGGCTTCTATCTGACCAGGGTGGTGCTTCAGTTTATGCATCAAATGATCAATGAACTCCGGTTTCCCGTGCATAACTTCAGCAAAAATTGCTGATAAAACTTCAGATAAGATTACCAATAAATTTGCCTCAAATAGAACCATGGAGGCCAAACCCGACCCAACAGCCGTGCCATTAACCAGTGCTAGACCCTCCTTAGGCTGCAACTCAAAGAACCCGGAATTCATCCCAGCAATCTGAAATGCCTCCGTGGCATCAAGGGACCGACCATTGGGCCCAACACACCTAGAATTAGGACGGCCGGTCAACAGTCCGGCAATGTATGACAAAGGAACCAAATCGCCAGAGGCAGTGATCGTGCCACGGAGAGGCAAACACGGAGTGATGTTGTGATTGAGAAGCTTTGTAAGAGCTTCTAATATCTCAAATCTGATCCCCGAATACCCCTGTAGAAGGGTGTTGATCCTCACTAGCATTGCAGCCCTCGTCGCAGAATGTGGCAACGTGTGACCTGACTCTGTTCCATTTCCAAAAATTCCAGCATTCAAGAACCTGATTTTTCAACAGCATTGGGTCAAATAGTTTCTTTTTCGGTGGTTTTACAAAATTGATTTACACTAATTAACATATTAATAATTTCATAAATATTTCACGCTATAAATGTCCAAGAGCATGGTATTTTTTTTTCTATGACATTAATGATAGGGCAACAATTCTGCCATGACATTTAATTTTCAGGGATAGGCCATGTTGGCTCTTCATAACTATGGTCCAATCAACACAGAACCCATGCCCTCAGGGATGGGATAAAGGTCAATCAGTCAACCACAAAAAAAAAAAAAAAAGCAGCTTTTAAGCAAAAGTGTGGGTTTTCAATTTTATTTATTTAGGCAACAAAATCGGCAAGGAAGTAGGCTATATTATGATGGGCTATCCCGCCTACTACTTTTAGTTTTTAGTTGTTTTTTATTTTTTTTTTCAACAGAAGGTAGTGTCCCAATTTAGCCAACTACTCCTAGCTTTGCAAAGCAGCCCTGCTCAAGGATACAAGCTTTGATAATGCTCGCTGGGGGCGATCTCGCCTACAGTCAAAGTGGGGTTAGGTAGAAGATAGTACTACTTCCTTTCTTCCCCTCCGGGCGCCCCTTCAAGTGTCCCTCCCACCTTGTGCGACTACAAGAAAACGAAAATTGTTTTCCCTACTAGCAATAAATTGTCGTCCCACTCCCACCTTGTGGAGTATCTAACTGTACTAGCAATAAATTTTTTTTTCTTCTATAGTCCATCTTTTTGTTTTTTTTCCCAATGAACTGTATTAGAAAGACTCCTAGCAAAAAAATAAAATAAAATAAAATAGACAATGCACCTAACTTATTCATTTTTGACAAAAGACACGACAAATTCTATATTCTATATTCTATTAGACAGCACACTGACGAAATTTCCAAGAAATCCTGGACAAGAATGACTTATTTCCAAGAAATCCTGGACAAGAATGCAAAGCATATTCAAGCAGAACTTTATAAAGCTGTCCCTGTTTTGTTGGGCAACAAGTTCTCATTATTATTAGTTAAGCAACGTACCTAACAATTTGGTCCATAAAGAGTAAAGACCCTACTTTACAAACCAAAAACAAAAAATATTTACAAGCAAAGCAAACACACCTAGAAAAAGGCTGAAATCGATGTAATGACATAAAGAGGGAAGAAATCAGGAAGGATTCTTTTACTCTTTGTCCCATCCTCTTAATTATTTACCACCCTCTGAAAGCAACCCTCTTGCTTTTTCTCTTTAACTGTTTGCCTGACAACAAACAATTCCCCCGTCGGCAATAAAACACAACCAATAA